TCCCGGGCTGGGGTTAATTCTTTGGGTTTTGGAGCCGGGGAGTGTTGCTGCTTCCCGGGCTGGGATTAATTTGAATTTTGGAGCCATGGAGCCTTTCTGCTTCCCGGGCTGGGGTTAATTTGAATTTTGGAGCCGTGGAGTGTTTCTCCTTCCCGGGCTGGGGTTAATTCTGTGGGTTGTGGAGCTGTGGAGTATTAGCGCTTCCCGGGCTGAGGTTAATTCTTTGAGTTTTGGAGCCGTGGAGTGTTTCTCCATCCCGGGCTGGGGTTAAGTCTTTGGGTTTTGGAGCCGTGGGGTGTTTCTCCATCCCGGGCTGGGGTTAATTCTTTGGGTTTTGGAGCCATGGAGTATTTCTGCTTCCCGGGCTGGGGTTAATTCTTTGGGTTGTGGAGCCGGGGAGCGTTTCTCCATCCCGGGCTGGGGTTAATTCTTTGGGTTGTGGAGCTGTGGAGTGTTTCTCCATCCCGGGCTGGGGTTAATTCTTTGGGTTGTGGCGCGGCGGTGACTGTGCGCTGCCTGTTTGCAGGGATCAGAAGGCGGCGGAGCAGTTGACTCGGACCCTGCGGGGAGTGATGCGCGTGGGGCTGGTGGCCAAAGGCCTCTTGCTGAAGGGGGACTTGGATCTCGAGCTGGTTCTGTTGTGCAAAGACAAACCCACCACGGAGCTCCTGGAGAAAGTAGCCGACAATCTGGGAGTACAGCTTGCTGTGAGTAAAACCTCTCAGTGTCTGCTTGCGCTTGTCACGGAACAGGTTTTAAATGGTTAAAAAAGACACCGGTGACGTTTGTTTTGATACCCTCTTTTTCTCTCTTGGGCAAATAATTGTCACAGTCGTGTAGCGCTATTCGGGAATCGCTTTGTTAAATAAACTTCTCCGTTAGCTGAGGTTTTGTTTGTAGACCTCGGTTCTTGTTGGAAAAGGATGTCGCAAACCACTTGGAAATGAGTTAAGACGATTGCTAAGCGGAGAAATTGTGTTGCAGGCTATTACTGAGGACAAATACGAAATAATCCAGTCGGTTGGTGATGCCGCAATTGTAATTAAGAACACAAAAGAGCCGCCGTTGACGCTGACCATCCACTTGACGTCGCCCGTAGTCAGAGAAGAAATGGAAAAGCAGTTAGCTGGAGGTATGGAAGGCTGAAAGCGGCCACCAGGCGGCTGGAAACCCGTACATTTCCGTTGCGAGTTCACGGTTAAAGCGTGCTCTTCAGTTTCAGCCGAAGCGGCAACGATTATTTTTGTGCAAATTCAAAATGCCGTAAGGCAACGCCGACCTCATGAGATCACGGTCACGGTTTCTTCGGGCTCAGCTTCCGAAACTGAGTAGCACCTTTCAGATGGGATTTTGCTCCTTTGTTGTTTTATTATTTCTTTATTCTTTTATTTTTTGGGGGGGCCTTTAGTTCACTAATACGTCATTTTGTTGTATTAATCTTGTTTTGTACCTAGCCATGTACGTGGCCTGCACAGGGACATGAAAATATAAGCCAGATATGTTTTTAAAAAAACAAAAAAACAAAAAAAACAAAACAACAAACCAAAACCACCACCAAAATCTCGAAGGCTTCTCGTTTAATGACTTGCATGTACATGAAATTGGATGTCCCACGCAGTTTGTGTTGCAGCAAGAGTGATGGGTGCTCTGGGTCTCCTCCACGGGCTGTTTCATCAGCTTCAAACAAACAAAAAAGCTCAGAATTCCAGAAAGTGCTGCAGAGTTTTGGATAAAGTTAGCTTCTCCGTTCGCTCGCCGGTTCCCTTTGGAATAAGAATTGGCGGACGGGGGTTTTTTTGGTTGGGTTTTTTGGGGTTTTTTTTGGCGCATGAATCACGATGGGTTGTGCGTCGTAGGCATCGCGCTGCCGAGTCGGCGGGTTTCAACCGCTTGCGCCGCGCGCTAGCCTTATCTAAAACCCTGGTCTTGAGAAACTCGGCGCTTTTTCGAACCCTGTCTTCAATTTTGCTGCAGCACAGACTGGGAAATATCTTTGTGCTCTGTTGACTGTCTATGGTTTTGATATCTGACCTCGTCTACCGAGCCTTCTAGTTTGTCAATTTTAGGGACGCTGGACCTTTGACCAACAGGACGCTCTCTGTCACGGGTTGGGGCCGGGGCAGTCGAGCCTTATGGGCGGAGGGGGTTCCCTCGATCCTCCCAAACCTTTTTACTCCTCCACTAAAGCGTAAACGCAGAGCTGGGAGGGGGAGTTGAGTTTAAATTTCCCTCTTCGTTACCCGTTACCGGCCTCGCAGGCTGCCGCTCCATTCCAGTCGCAAAGGATTTCTCTCCTCTCTCCCATCCCGTCCCACGCCCCGTCTCCTCGCAGAATAGATGTCAGTCCCCCTTCGCTGAACTTCCCCCACCGCCGCCACCCCCCCCGATTCTCTGCAGTTTTAATTTCTAAGCCCTCGCGCGCTGCAGAGCCCACCCTGCAGGGCCAGGATCTAGATCAGGATCTTTTGGGAGCCTCAGCTGCCCGGTAGGAAGCTGCCTCATCCCCTCTCCGCCTGACAGAACCCCCTTGGTCAAACTGTGCCTTGTCTTCTTATTCCATCCACGAATAGAAACGCTATCAGTCAACGACTCCCCGGACGTTCTGGACAGGCAGAAATGCCTTGCTGCCTTGGCGTCACTGCGACACGCCAAGTGGTTCCAGGTTTGCATTTTGTTCTTATATTTGTCTTTAAGTAGAAAAAAAAAAAAAAAAATTGTAAAGCTTTAAGGGGCTAAACTATTTCCTTTTGGTTTTTTTTGGTGGTTTTTTTTTTTTCCTGTTTAAAATACATTTTAACGGCGGATGGTAGTTAGACGTGCTGAACTTAGCGCCTGTCGGCGGGACAGTTGCTAAAGGAGCACTTAAGCGAGTTAAACGTTCGGCAGGACCCTTTTTTAAAGAGTAGAAGGCGTCGCTGCTGCTTTGTGTTAAGAGTAATGTTGCCTACAGTCAGAAGTGATTAAATGGTAACGCGAAACACTGTTTACCCTTGACAAAGTAGCACCGCAAAAAAAAAAAACAAAACGAAAAACCAAAACCCAAATAAATGTCTGCGACTGAGCAGTTTTGGTGGGTTTTTTATTGTTGAATGCGTGTCTGCTTTTGATTCTTATTCTAGGCCAGGGCTAACGGGCTGAAGTCGTGCGTCATAGTGATCCGAGTGCTGCGAGACCTCTGTACTCGGGTTCCGACTTGGGCACCGCTGAGAGGATGGGTAATTTCCCTCTTTTCTTACGCTTTTTTGGTGGGTTTTGGTACCGCTTCTCCCAGCCTGGTGTTTCGGCTCTCTTCAGTCTGCGCACGTTCTGTTCCGTGAGGGAGTTCTATACCGAACGAACAAAGTTTCTCCCCTTAGGAGATGGGTGTCAAACCTCTCCGGTGCGAAGCGTTTTATGGATGAACAGTTTCCGCCGTGCGAATGGTTTAACCGTTGGTGAATTTGAAGCAGGTTCTGGCCGCCACGGCGGCGCGAGCGCCTTCCTTTTGCTCCTCTCACTTCTCCAAACTGTCTTTCAGCCTCTAGAGCTGCTGTGCGAGAAATCTATCGGCACTGCTAACAGACCCATGGGCGCTGGCGAGGCTCTGAGGAGAGTTCTTGAATGCCTTGCCTCGGGAATCGTTATGCCAGGTTAGGTGGTTCTCTGCATTTACGTTTCAAAGCGAAGCCGAAACGAGACGCGGTTGAAGCTCGGAGGCGGCGCGGTTCCGTTACGCGCGCGCGGGCAGCCGATGTGCGGAGCTCGCCGGCGCACACGGGTACTACAGTACCTCGCCGTTCCGTAGGGCACCGTGTGTTCAGAGCTACGGACCCGTGACGTTAAACCCCCTCCCCCGCCCCGTAGAGAGAGGTTCCAGTTCCCGCAAGCGTAAAATTGGTTCCCTTGAGTGGTCGTGACCAGCTTCGCTGCTCATTGTACGTGTAAAATAGTCCAGACGAGTTTCAGAATGTCGGACGTTGGATGGATCGTGGCGGTCCGTGTTCTTCCGAGAGATGAGTGTTGATTGATGCCAAGGGAATACTTAGTTTAGTTGCTTTAGAAAACACCAGGATAATTCTCTGCATATCTTCCTTGTTTCCTGCCTTCAGATGGTTCTGGTATTTATGATCCTTGTGAAAAAGAAGCCACTGATGCTATTGGGCATCTAGACAGACAACAAAGGGAAGATATCACACAGAGTGCTCAGGTATAGTTTTGACTACAGATGTTACGAAAACTTAATCAGTTCCACTGACTCTGAACTTCCGTATTGGTTAATGGTAGTATAGTAACCTCCCGGAGGTCGGTGTTAACTTTTTTAATATCTAGTCAAGTAAAAGAAATACAAATGGGTCCCACACCGATGAGGAATTTGTAGCTCGGCCAACCAGAAGCAAAGTATCAGGTTTTAAATAGCGACTTGCTACCGTGGCCCCGATTTTGGGTTGAACTTCCAAAAAAAAAAAAATAAAAAAAAAAATGATAAATTCAGAGAGTCCTATTTAAACCGCTGAGGATTTCTGTGCAGGGGTGGGTAGAATGTTCCTGTCTGAATCTGTGCAGGGAACGGAGATTGGCGGAGCCGCTCGCGCGTCCCGCTAACACGTGTTTAATCTTTCTAGCACGCTCTGAGACTTGCTGCTTTTGGCCAGCTCCACAAAGTCTTGGGGATGGATCCCCTCCCTTCCAAAATGCCCAAGAAACCAAAGGAGGCGCTTGCCACCGTTGCCCCCATTTTTGGTTGAACTTCCAAAAAAAAAAAAATAAAAAAAAAAATGATAAATTCAGAGAGTCCTATTTAAACCGCTGAGGATTTCTGTGCAGGGGTGGGTAGAATGTTCCTGTCTGAATCTGTGCAGGGAACGGAGATTGGCGGAGCCGCTCGCGCGTCCCGCTAACACGTGTTTAATCTTTCTAGCACGCTCTGAGACTTGCTGCTTTTGGCCAGCTCCACAAAGTCTTGGGGATGGATCCCCTCCCTTCCAAAATGCCCAAGAAACCAAAGAACGAAAACCCCGTTGACTATACTGGTAGGTACTGGGCGGAGGAGACCCCCACAAATCCCATTTCCACGGCTTTTTGTTGCTGGAAACTGGAATACTCAGAGGGTTGTTTTTTTTCTTGTTGCGATCGTTACAGTCCAGATTCCTCCCAGTACCACCTACGCCGTCACCCCAATGAAGCGTCCCATGGAGGAGGACGGAGAGGAGAAATCTCCCAGCAAAAAGAAAAAGAAGATTCAGAAAAAAGGTATTGAGTTAACAAGAGGTAGGTACAACCGGGCGACTCGAGAGCTGTTCTCGGGCCGAGGCGGGGGGCGGGTCGCGGAAGAGCTTCTTGCAAGGATGGGGTCTTGGGAGATGCCGTAAAAGGGGTTCCGGGGCGCGTGGATTTGGATAAAAAAGAGGCTTAACGCTGTAAGATTTTGACTTGGTGTGGCTTCGACTCTCGCACGGAGGAAAACGCAGATCAGAACTTGTCTGAAATCAGTTATGCTTCTTGTACCGAGATGACAAACATCCGCAAACTTTGGGGTTTTGGTTTTCTTTTGCTCTCTTCAGAGGAAAAACTCGAACCTCCCCAGGCCATGAACGCGCTGATGAAACTAAACCAGCTAAAACCCGGCCTCCAGTACAAACTCGTCTCTCAGACCGGTCCTGTTCACGCTCCCATCTTTACCATGTCGGTGGAAATCGATGGCAGCACGTTTGAGGCGTCGGGACCTTCCAAAAAGACGGCCAAATTACACGTGGCGGTGAAGGTAAGAGCTGCGTGCCTGAATTCCCGCCGGAGGGCTCGCGTTGGATCGCCGACCTCTTCGGAGTGGGCAAAAAGGGGCGGCCGGACCGACGGGGGGTGACGGTTGTGACAACAACCGGGTGTGAAAAACCTCATAAAACCTTTGGGACAGAGAGGGGAGAAGGGAAACGGGGAGTCAGCGGTGCGCGTGAGGACCTCGTACCTCTGTGGTCTTGAAGAGCCTGCGGGAGGTGGGGAGTGCCGAGCGTAGTGCAGAGTGAATAACGGCGT